TAATTATTTTGTTTACAAAAATAAATGCTGACTCACGGACTGACGCACAAATGTTTTGATACCTAGTTGATAAATCTAAGCTCCTCATGAATAGGTCATTTTGCTTAGCCGCTGTCTTACTAGCTGAGCATCCACACATACCCATAATGGTGGGGAGTAATTTCCCAATTCTCAATCATCAGAAGCTAGTGAATTTTAAGGAATTCAGGTTTAGAGAATCTCCCGTGTATGCCGAACTGCCGATAGACGAAAATCCAGTGTACAATGAGCCTGTGGCTGTGAAAAATGCAGTCTTTTCCAAGGTATGTTGTATATTTTAGAAGGTAATCAGTTTTCAAGACTTTTTCTTTTTTCCATATAATCAGTGTGTGATTTAAGGTGAATCTTACCAGTAGAGAGTCTAGAACTAATGAGTTCTGAAGAAATGAACATTTTTTTTTGGTATTTTACTGCACAACACAACTATTATGATTAAATTATGAATTTTGTAGCTAAATTGACGCACAGAATACAGCAATGAAAATGTAAATAAAAATATATTTTAGACAAAAACAACACTACCTAACAAATAACGAAACAATAACAGCCAACTTGTCTGCAGGTGCCCACCGAACCTTTAACAGGGAAGCTTCACTTAGTGTGTGCTTCGGAGGACTGTCTCACCAACATCCTCAATCTGGACCTGGCCTGCGCAGAGACCGAGGAGTTCATCGACTTCATTGCTGGAAAGTATCTGCCTGATGGAGGACTGACTGTCTGTCACAGGTGACTATTAATAACTAAAGTATTTTTTGCAAAATTTGCGACTTGCAATTAGATGAAAAAATGATTTTTTTAATTTATTTATTTAAAAACTTTATTGCACATACATAACAATGTTCCGTAACAAAAAGGCGAGCTTAATGCCATAAGTCATTCTCTACCAGAAAACCCATGAGCGCTCCTGCACACGACGCCGCCGCTGCGCCTTTGCACTGTTTATACGCGCCGCGTGAAGCCCCCCGCCGCGCCGCCGGCGAAATTATGCTTTGATGGCGCGGTGGCGGCGCGGCGGCGGGCTTTACTCGGTGCGTATGATCATTATAGGGGCGCGGCGGCGGCGCGGCGGCGGCCGGCGCCGTCTGGCCGCTGGCGGCGTCGTGTGCAGGAGCGCTTATAGGTACTTCACTTTCAGAATTCATATCATAAACATTTTTGATTATTTTAAATGTTCAATAAACTTTCACATTAAATTGATAAATATAATTTCAAAAACCTGAATATAATCTCTCAATTCTTTATCCAGATATGGAGGTCACCAGTTTGGCTTCTGGGCTGATCAGCTCGGGGATGGAAGGGCACACATTCTTGGGGAGTATGTCAACCGGCAAGTATTACATGGTAGTTTTATGATTCTAAAGAAATGCATGTAAAATATAAAAATTCAAGCATTACAAAGCAAGTTGTTGCCAAAATATGGTTAGACACTTTCTTAAAAACCATCTATAGTCTGGTCTGTGAGCATGTAGAATTTTGTCCAATGACCCCAAGCTACCCATCCTTATCGCTCGCGCGTAATTATATTGCTGTCGCGACTGTGCGACGGGCGCCCGCAGTGAGTGTGCGAGCGCGACAGCTACATGGATAGCTTGGGGTCATTGGACAAAATTCTACGTGCTCGGAGACCGGGCAGTAGTCGATGTCGCGTGTCGCCTAGTGTACGCCTACACTAAAACTACCAGAACATTCAGTAAAATGCCTAAAAGTTGTCTTCCAATCTTTTCACAGCAAGGGCGAATCCTGGCAACCCCAGCTTAAGGGGTCGGGTGAGACCCCATACTCTCGCTTCGGGGACGGTCGCGCGGTGCTCCGCTCATCCATCAGGGAGATGATAGCTTCGGAAGCGTGCCATCACCTTGGCGTACCAACTACCAGGGCCGCGGCGCTTGTAGGTAAGGCTTCAAGACTTCAAGGGGTCTGTGAGACCCCATACTCGCTTCGGGGACGGTCGCGCGGTGCTCCGCTCATCCATCAGGGAGATGATAGCTTCGGAAGCGTGCCATCACC